GGTTGGGTTTTGGCACATTGCACTTTATGCGTGTTAGTATTTGGAAGCGGTCGTGGTCCTGTTATATGTCCATGCCAGTGATTAAAATATTAGTTCAGTTATAATGTCTGGAACAGTATTAATACGCTCTACTTCACCAAAATAGTATGTTCATATGTACTCAGTTAAAAAAAAAAGTATTTACATTATTGAATTATAAAATTAGCCTTCCTACTGGTGATGGCTTTGTGTCTTACAACCTTCATTAACAAGACTAACTCTGATGAAGCTGTCCAATTAGGGACACTGATTCGAATCAGTACCCAAGTGCAAAGAAGCAGCTGCTTAGGGGTTCATACCGAAGGAGTCAGTCCTCTGAATCTTGTCTCTGAAGGCATATGTTATGTATCTATCTAGGTTTGCATATGACATTTGCCATCACATTTCTGTAATTTGCACTAGCCCAACGGGCAATTCTAGCAGAGAGGACAAAAACAAGGCAAAAGCCGTGGGAACAATTTTCACACATCACTCCACTCTTCCTGGGTGTCTGGGTAAATCTCAGCTTTGGCATCTGACACAGAGTGATCTTGAACCAGTTCAGAATCTGGGTAGGCAGATTTTTCTGGAGGAAAAAAAAAAAAATTTACCAAGGAAAGCCTCCATTAGATCCAGTCTTAAGCAGTTCGGATACCTCCCTGAAGGTGACTTAGCTCATTTACAAGTGGTGTACACTGATGTCAAATAGGAATAAGGTGCATGTTAGGATCACAGGAGGGGCTAAGCGCTCGTTGATATCGCGGAACCTTTGTAACTTACACCGCTGAAGATTTCAAGTGAAAAACTCAAAACTGGAATCATCCAAGGCAAGATCCGGATAGGCCAGAGGACTGTACACCAGCATACAGCGTTATACAACCAGAGTTTTCACTTTTATTTAGTTTAGAGTTGGCTTGCGCTAATGTCTCCAGCTGTCTTCAGGGTGATGTAGATCAGATTCATACGCAACAGGCGTCTAGCACAGTCTTAACTATCATTTAACAGAAAACTGGGGACAAAAAAAGTAGAGGAAGTTCCTAACACAAACAGGTATATACATACATAGTAGCCAAACTACCTCTGTACAATACTTTGAACCATCAATATCCTGAGTCGTTGTGGCACTTTAACCATGTGGCAAACACAGGATAGCATGTGAGAGACCATGATCCTGATCAGCTGTTGGAAGCAACACATAAATTAACGAGATAATCAAACAGAATATTTGGAAGGTATCTTCCAAAAGCAGCAGTAAAAATGACAAGTATTTATACTTCTGTCTGAGTGAGGCTATTTAAAATAGAGCAGCTTAGTTAAGAATACAAAACGAGTTGCTTGTGACCATGCAAAGTAAAATTATGAGTTAATTCGGGGTGTTCTTTCATTCCAGTGCTACTGAGTAGGGTAACAAAGGTGAAGGAAGGAAACAGCCTTCCTGAAGCCCTTGATTATATTTCAAGATGCCAGGATTTTCCTCTCCCTGGAGAGTTTTCCACCAGAGTCAGTATCCCACAATTGCTCAGTGACACAAACATTTGAGATCAGGAGAATATGTTCAATGATTAGGAAAATATTTTTCTTTAGCTTGCACTTATAAAAGGCACTGATCTGCTTCAATCAGAGTAGACCTAGCAGCTTCTCCTACATTACTTGCATGCATTTTAAATATTGAATTCTACTACTGAAACCGCAAATGCAGCCTATTTCTTTAAACGTATTTATGGCATAATAAACCATCTCCATGTAAAAAAAAAAAAAACCCACAAGGATTTACCATTTGAAAAGATTCTTGGGTTAGACCTCCAAAAATAATAGTGACTTTTTTGTAAAAGTCTACATGAAAAAATAACAAGGAGGCATATTTCCCCTTCACTATGCATCCTTTCATTATGAATGAGAACCGAAAAACGTAAGTGCAGCAGAAAAGCTCCAGTGTTCCCAACATCATGGGACTCCGCTCCCTTTCCATCTGAAACCATTCCAGAGCAGACCCCATGAACAAATAGATCGCTCGCTTTTTTTACAGAGGGCCTTTGTTCAAGTTGCTCTCTCCCATCTTCTCCTTGCAAGTAAGTAAGTCCTGGCTCACAATTGTGTTTCCTCTTGTTCCAAAGAATGTGGAGGGATATGGCAAGATGCTGGAAGAGATGCTAGCTTCTGAAGCTTAGGGTGTTGCAGAGGTTTCGGCCGGTGAAAAGAACGTCGGCTTTGTACACGTCTGGCTGCAGCTGATCTGTAATTTCCTTGTATATCAAGCAACATCTTCTTCTCTTGGGGCTCCTTCATATAAGAGTCTTCCAGCCCTTCAAACAAAAGTAGAGAACTCTCTTCCTGTGAATTCTCTGACTTGTAGCTGACTTCAGAACAATAACCTGAGTTTGCTGTCTCTTTGTTATTTGTATCTGTACCTGCTTCCCAGAAGAGATCAGGTACGTTTGGGTCACAAGAAGCTATATACTCAGAGACAGTAGAAAGAGATATATTCCCTCTGTTTTCCAGTGAAGAATAGTTCTGTGTCCAAGGCATTTGAAGACAAGATGGGAAGAAGTGGAGAGGAGTCATCGAGACATTTTGGTTTTCGTTTAGTTGGTCATCTGAAGAGGAGTATTCTGTCATTTCAACATCTTGGTCCATGTCACCTAGAGAGCACAATTAAATAGAAACATTTGTAATGCACAATTTCTATACTAATATGCTGCCTATTGGGCTTTGCTTTTAGCTCTTTTTGTACAAGTTATACGTGGTTTGAGATGCTTTTTTTTGCTGAAGAACTCTACCCTGTCCCAATTTGTTTCTTGAACAACCCAAAGTGAGTTTACTGAACTTCTTTTCCTTGCTGAGTATCAGGCAAAACCGAGTTCAGTGCTTGCAATGAACAGCTGCCTGTTTGAGATATTTGGGAGGTGGAGCCATCGTCTGGTCATTAAGGTGTATATGTATCTTGGAACATTTAGTCCTGATGCTCAGCAAGGAAATCTTTCAGAAACTTCCAAAATAAATTGTGCTCTTTCCATCAAGTAACAGCTGGTGTCACCAGGGAGTCAATTCCTTATCGACTGGAGCCTGTGATTAGTTTCCTGTGTACTTTATGCAGAGAAACTTCAAGTTTCCACCCTTGGCTTCTAGCTTGGGTGTTTTTTTAAAAAACCTTTTAATTGACATTTCAATATCATTCTTCCATTAGGAGAATTTTGTTCAAGAGACAATTCAGAGGGCTGTTTCAGAGAGAAATCAAGATCTAACCTTGTTAGCTTAGGAAGTCTAAACTCCCAAAACATTTAAGAAACACAGCAGTCAAAACCCAGCAATTTTGATATCTGTACAAGAACTTATACATATCAGTTCCTAATAATAAAGTAAATTATAAATAAGGCAATTATAAGGTAAGGTAAATTATAAATAAGAGGGAAAAGAACAAAGGTTCGCAAGAAAACGTTCAGTGAGTCATACGCCTGTATTTTCTGACAACTTTCTCAGTGGCGGGAAAAAAGCAAAGAGAATTATAATGTAGATAAGTGCCAAGGAGAAATCTTCCTTTTGGAATGCTGCTCATTGTGCAAGTTCTTCATTGAGATACTGGAATTTAACTCACCAGTTTTTTTTTAATTAAGCTAGTGTTCATTTCAAAACATCATTGAAAAAATAATCAGAGATGCATTAATAAGGAACAGAGTATCAGAGCCAGCCACAGACCTATAGGCTACTCCAGTAATGAAAGTGATGTGCTTCCTGTAATTACCCTTGAACAAGCACATCTTCTTCAGGGACAGAAGCCAGAATAGAAGAAAAATGGAACTTGCTTTTCTATTTCTTTGCAAAAGGTTATGAAATTCTTCTCAAATCAAAACTGCCAGCATTCACTCTTAGCCCGAGGCATTTTGTCTGAACACAGTCTCACCCAACCGCTACAGAAGTCCTTTCAACTTACCACATTCCTGTATTTGTTGATGCACAGAAGACACTGGCTCTTACATTTGTGATCACAGATGCCGCAAAAGCCAGCTCATGATGAAACGGGTTATTGCATTTCATTGCATAATCCCAGCAGTGCCCTATGTTCTGTTCGATTATGATGTCTGGACTGTGACCTGGCCCACCTCATTTACAGCACTGGCTGTCGATTGTAGAAGTGAAGCTGCTTTTTATGGCGAGGAAAATTTCCACAAAGCAAAAATTAAAGGGCAATTGGGATAGGCATTGAAATGCAGAATCCATTTAATCTCAAGCCTCTAACGCTTTTGCAGAGACAAGTTGTTACTGCATCAGAATGCTAAGCTTTTACCTGGTTTCAAAATAAAGTGTGGATTAAGATAAATACACAACTTAAGGATAAAGCTCGAACTAAAACTGGCATTTTGCATCTCCAGCGTCGGGCTGTTGTGTAATTATCTCTACTTGCGCCAGGGAACGCTGCTGCATTCTAGCAAACCTGCTTTGTTTTTAAACCCTTTCCTACATAATTTAATGGCAGGGCCATTGAGTACTTGTATTGTAGCAGTGGGATCATTTTCCTTTCCTGGGCGCTGGATAAAGAACCTGGACAAATGTTGAGAACAGGCTCGAGGCTTCTTTAAGCAGCAGGGTGAAAAATCATATTCTAATCACGCCAAGAATGAGGGACAGCCCAGCTTGTGGCTTTGAGACCTGGAGCCTCTTGAAAACAGGTGCACAACATTCTGGTATTTGGAATGCTGTTTTCTTGGCAGGTTAAAGTATTCAAGTCAAAACAAAGAGCAGGATCCCAAATAGATGGACAGCTCTTCTGCAGAAGGAAAATAGAAAGATGTTTTGTTATTCCAGCTTGAGGAAAACAGAAGCTGCTTAGTTGCACGAAGAAA